TACAGCTGCAGATTCTTAAAATTTCTATCAGGTTCTTACCGAACGGTTGTACATACAATATAAAAATAATAATAGTTGATAACTTCTAGTCCTTATTCCTAGCATCAGTGAATTTAAGGGGAACAATTGCTAATAAACAATTAAAGGAAAAAGATCAACAAAATAATTAAGCCAAAAAATCAACAATCCAATGATAAAGGGATTTGGAATGCGCAAAAAGCAATAGATTAACAAAGTAAAAGAGGAGACTGACATAAAAGAGAGAGAGAGAGAGAGAGAATAAAATACCAAAATCGGAGGCAAAAGTTGATGTATTTTGTAGCTAGAGGAACCTACGTCTTTTCTGGGCTTATTGAATGAGTTGATGTATTAGTGTGTTACTTGTTAGAATTCAACAGAATGTGGGGGTTTGGCCAACAAAAAAACAAGAAAAAAAAAAGACAGAAAAAGGGGATGAATGAACCATTACCTTGTTTTGTTGATTTTGTTTTCTATATACGAATTGCATGAGCGTAATCCCAGCACGTGTGCCACTACGACCCTTCCTCAAACTATTGATGGTTTTGAGTTTTCCACTAAACATCCACTAAATAGCAAAGTTGAAGGAACGAATTGAGAAACCTTAAGAAGCAAAGAATAAAAAATAATTAGAAGTCGTAGACGCAACTGGATGCTGAGTTATATAACTCTCCTGGAGGAAATAATTAGAGGAAGATCGTGGTTGGAAGGTATTTGCTGTTGGCAGTCGAAGGAGGCACGACCACGACCACCAGTGTAGCGAAAAGAGAATGTGGAAGGTGGATATTAGGGTAGATAACTGAAATTTGGGTTTCAAGGCCAGGAGCTGAAATAAAAAAAATGGGCCTTTTGGAGCTGGGCCCTTCGCAATGTAGCGTAGTTATGGGTTTTGTTTGCAGAATTTGGCCCTTTACAATGTATTGTTGGGCTTTAAAGAATGCTCAAGTTGCATAAAGTAATTTAGTAGGTTCAATATTTTAATTCTTTAAAAATTTAGGACAGATACATGGATTCACTTGTTACTAGGTAACTTTTAACTCAAAAGATTGGCAACATGTTTAAGATCCTTATTTTCCTTCAATTAGGTTTTTCAACAGTTTTAAGGTTTGATTAATGACAATTTAACGGCATCCAAAAGAAATGGCAATTTAACCATTATACTAAATGTAAATTTGTATTAAGAGTATTATGAATTTTCTAAAAAACCCTAATGTACATAATAAATTTAATTAGATTATTTTTATTAAGATAAAACTGAATTAAGTTTTCACTTAATCAAAATAGAAAGTCTAACAAGTACACTACACAAAAATTTTTCCAAAAATTGGCAAAAGAAATAGTTATAATGTTATAGTTATGGGTGTGGAAACCAAATTTCAAATTTCTTAATTTCATACAAGTGATACAGGGCTTGTTAAAGGTCATAGTTGAGAACTTTAATGGGGTATCCTTTTCTTTGTGGCCAACTTCAATGGGGTGCATAGTATGTCTACATCTTTTAATTTATTCTTATATCAAACTCTAAATCACATCTTAAATTTATTGAATGGTAACAAGTGATGCAAATTGCACAACTTTGCAAACTTTTTCAAATTTATCTTTGTCTAAATCTATCAGC